TTTCTAGCTTCCAGAAACACGTTGTTCTTGGGGCCAAAGAATGAGACGTGGGAATTGGTGTTCCATCCCACGTACCAAACAAGGCGATAAAGCTAATGAAATTGCATAATCTTAAAGGAGTACTTATATAATTTCTTATGAAAGATTACTTCTCAGTTGCAACAATTATAACCACAATCTAATGGAGCCTTGTCCAAGCAAGTTAATCAGCCTCAAACTAAGTTTTTATCACATAATTTGAGCAATAATTCATTTAAGCAATCAATCTAAAGTAAAATCTTAAATCTTAAAATCCAGCTGCTAAGCGAGAGGAAAAAAGAATAAGGACAGAAATAATAATGACTTAATAAGACTAGTATAGTGCACGTGCTTTGCACGAGAGGGTACATGTTTTGTTTTATGTTTTTCAGATTTTTTTTGTTGGCTGCAAAATAATGAAATGACTTGTATAGCAATATAAATTCTAAACAATTATATTTTTGTTTAAATGAATAAATTGTATGATAAAACTGTGTAAATAGAATTGTATGATTAATTATTATAGTTTGGATAATTATTATAATTTATTCATAATTTGTTAACATAATTATAATATATTAAATAATTTCTTCTCTTTTAAATATAATAATATTATACATAGCATAATTATAATATTATTAGCAACTACATTTTAATTTCATAATTAGTTTATTACAGTATTAGTATATAATTTACTGAATTGTATATATTAAATTACAGTTTAATTTATTAATTTAAAAAGTACTATTAAAATCATTATACTATTAATACAATTATAATTACAATAAATACAAATTGTTTTTCATACTATTATCATACTCTTAAAAGGCTAACAAGATGAAAGGTTACAGGTAATCGTCCATAAGAAGTGAAACCCAAAGGCATAAAGCATAAACCTAATGAATTGTTATTATTTTAATTTTTCTAGAATTTTAAATAATGTGAAGATAACTTAGGGATAAATTTAAATTTTCTATTAAATAAGGTAACTAAATAATAAAATAATAGTGTGACCAAATATTTTGAAAAAATAAAGAAATGCATAATTAATAAGATGTTATATGTAATTAGTGAATGATTATTACAACTAATGACACATTCGATAATTATCAAACTTTAAAGGACAAAAATGAAAATCAAAAGTTCTGACAATGCAATCCTCTTTTATATATAGTATAGATGAGTGAGGAAAGAGTATTTCCTAAAGTTTAGACAACGCTAATATCACAATTACAAAAGGGAAGGTACATGCAAGCTTTCTTAATAAAAGAAGTTATAATTATAGAAATCTAACACATGGAAAAAACTTCTGTAAATTATAGGCAGGACTCGTATCTTAATTAAGTAGAAATAAAAGGACCCGAAAGACCTATATCTTACCGAGTCCAACAGCTTGGAATTTGTGATTCTGAGAGATGTTTCTGTGAGTCAACTGTGTCAATGCAAAATAAAGTCCAGCAACGTCTACAAACCCAATAAGCGCTCTCAACAATTCCTGAAAATGCAAGGAAAAAAATTGAAGTCAAGCCAAGCACCAAAGATCATATCATACTCTCTTTAAAAGTACGAGTTTAGGAAAATCTTTCTATGGTCAATATTACCCTCAGCTTTTTTTAAATATTACATTGTTATCCTAATCTATTCTAATTATCCTATTCATAATGAAACTTAACATGTTATTGGATAAAATAGATATGTTTCATATAATTCAAATCTTTTACTTATTTCAATTCGTAGAGAAATCTAAAAAAACATATGTTAGCCAGCATCTAAAAGTTTTTGGGCTTTGTAAAAAATATTCTCTAAGTTTTTTTAATTGTAAAAATATCCCTACAAATTCAAAATTTTATTAAAACATCGAAAAAATCTTTCTATGGTCAATATTACCCTCAGCTTTTTTTGAATATTACATTGTTATACTAATCTATTCTAATTATCCTATCTTCTTTGAATTGGTAACCAAATGATTTATTTTATGGTCAATATCCCTTTAAAAGTACGAGTTTGTGAAAATCTTTGTATGATCAATATTACCCTCAGCTTTTTTTAAATATTACATTGTTATCCTAATCTATTCTAATTATCCTATCTTCTTTGAATTGGTAACCAAATGATTTATTCTATTCATAATGAAACTTAATATGTTATTGGATAAAATAGATATGTTTCATATAAGTTAAATCTTTTACTTATTTCAATTTGTAGAGAAATCTAAAAAAACATATGCTAACCAGCATCTAAAAGTTTTTGGACTTTGTAAAAAATATTCTTCAAGTTTTTTAATTGTAAAAACGCCCCTATAAATTCAAAATTTTATTAAAACATCGAAAAAATCTTTCTATGGTCAATATTACCCTCAGTTTTTTTTTTTTTTGAATATTACATTGTTATACTAATCTATTCTAATTATCCTATCTTCTTTGAATTGGTAACCAAATGATTTATTTTATGGTCAATATCCCTTTAGAAGTACGAGTTCGTGAAAATCTTTCTATGATCAATATTACTCTCAGCTTTTTTTTAAATATTACATTGTTATCCTAATCTATTCTACTTATCCTAATCTAAAAAAACTTATGCTAGGCAGCACCTAAAAGTTTTTGGACATTGTAAAAAATATTCTCCAAGTTTTTTAAATTGTAAAAATGCCCCTACAAATTCAAAATTTTATTAAAGCATCTTGAAAATTATAAATTTTACTTATCTCAATTTAGTGAGAAATTTGAAAAATGTATGCTAACTAGAAACTGAAAGTTTTTTGACTTTGGAGAAAATATATCTTGTAAGTATTAAAAATTATAAAAACACAATTAAAAATTCAAAATATATAAAAAAACCTTGAAATTTTCAAACCTATAAACAACCTAAAAACCTACAAATAACACAAACAACTCCCAAAATTTTATGGAATTTACAATTCACACTGAACATTTTACAAATTGCAAAATAAAACCCTCAAAATTGTAAATTAAAAAATTCCTGATAATTTCTGACCTAATAGTACATTAAAAATATAAGAATTATAAATATCCCTTACATAATTTATAATTTATAAAAAACACCCTTAAAGTTTCAAAAATTACAAAGAAACATTTAAAATTCCAAATTTACAAAAAACACACTAAAATTTTCAAATTCATTAGTAAATTGAAAGCATATGAATTATAAATAGTCTATAAACAATTTACAATTTGTAGAAAAGACCTATAAAGTTAAAAATTGTAAAAAGTCTTTAAAATTCATAATTTACAAAAAAAACACCATGAGAATTTCTAACCTATAGACACTAACATGAATATGCAAAATTACTAACAACCCCTAGAAAATTAAAATTTTACAAAAAATATCATACACCATTTAAAAGTATAGATTTAGAAAAAACTTTTCATGGTAAATATTACTCATAACTTTTTTGAAAAGAACATAATTAATTGAAAATCTATTAAATTTAAAATTTACAAAAAAACACTCTTAAAGTTTAGTACATTGCAAATTACCCCTCCAAAGTTTGAAATTTTTCAATAATTTTTTTATAATTCATTGATTTCAATGTAATGTTTAATAGTTTTGTGTATTTGTAAATTACAAATTTAGAGTGTTTTTTGACACTTTTTAAAACTTTTGAGGATGTTTATTTTGTAGTTTTCTAAATTTTTATTGTGTTTTAGTGTAATACACATATGCATCAATTAATAATGATATTGAAGAATAAGTCATTCTTAAGTTTATTAGACCATAGTTAAGTGTGCACATCACTATTCCTAGGCAGTATAGTTTATATATGTAAAAAAATTCAGACAATCTATATAGTGGTTAAAAAAAATTTGATTTTAATGTACTATTTTTTATTAATTATATTTAATGTGAACCCATCATATAATTTTGACTATGGCCATCATAATTTTAATACGTTTGATTGATTGACTATATACGTATATAGACCATAAATTACTTTACTTTCTCACATGAGCTAATATTTGGTGGTTAATAATTTAAATTATTACTTTTAAATTTGATGTAAAGATGAGCTCTAATAACATTTATTTATTTACCTACAGCATAATACAATCTCAATTTCTATTTTTTGCTGGAGATTTATTCCATAGTTACGTGTATCAAATTAGTAACTAAAATAATAATTGTTTATGCTTAAATTAGAATGAATGTAGTTGGTCACTCACTATAAAATTTTTATGAATATATATATATCTTACTTTCTATAGCTATTTGCACTGCCTATGTATATTTTATAAATTAGTTCTTAATTTATATATATATCTTACTTTCTATAGCTATTTGCACTGCCTATGTATATTTTATAAATTAGTTCTTAATTTGACATATTAAATTACTTTTTCTTTGTAGAAATTTCTTCTGACTTTTAGACTGTGTAATCACTATATCACCATTCTAGCATAGAAAATACCCCACTCTAACTGGCTTCAAGCCAATGTTTGAGTTGCACTGAAGTATATACTATTGCTTCTATGTGTATATATTTTTTAAGAAATCATGTCAACACTTTTTAAATACAAGAGAATATTCTAACATCTGATATTATAAAAACTAAATATAGCCAATTGAATGATTAGCAAAAGAGAACTTACATCAGAAAAGTGTGAATAATAAGATAAAGAGAAAAGGTTATGCATTGCAACAGTACTACAAATAGCAAACTACAATGTAAAGTTAACCTATTTTGTGGAGCCCAACTACTGACTATAAGCATCGAGGTTTTCATATATATACTTTATAATTTATTAAAAAAGATCATATAATCTTATTTAATAAAATTGATTTAATATTGAATAGTAATATCGTTGTAATAATATCATTATTAGGAACAACTCTTCATGAATCGATATGCTCTTTACGATATATAAGCTATGCACTCTAAATTCTTCTATTTTTTACAGAGCCAAAAAGTTTGATACGAGCCTCTAACATGTTGCTCTCACAACAGCAAAATCCACTTAGGAGATATGGATATTCCAGATGAGTTATGTATCCTATATACAATACAATTACCCTAGGTAAGTGAGATAATAACATTTTTCATTCACATCGTTTCGGGTAAGATTTAATAGAGATCTTGCATAAAAAAAAATTATGTTTAGAACACATGGCGAAATATATCATAATCTCCCTATTCTAATTTCGCAAGAAAATAATTATTCATACTTTTAGTTTTACTTCTATGATACAGAGAATGAGCTATAAAATTGAATGAGAATATTAGATAATTTCTATGATACAGAGAATGAGCTATAAAATTGAATGAGAATATTAGATAATATAAATATGAGTGAAACATCAACTAAAAAATGAGAATATTAGATAATATAAATATGAGTGAAACATCAACTAAAAGTTAACGTGAATATGAGTCAAATCATAACTTAAAGTTTAATGAACATATTGCAAGTAAATTCATATGTAAAATTCCTTTGCGAATTGAATGATCACCCATCTTTTGAAGACTTCAAGATACTAATAAATAGAGATGTTGTACTAGATTAATGTGTTTATAACTCACAAATAGTAGATCACGTGGCTACAGTCTGAGTTGAAAGAAACAATGACAATATTTTATTTGAGAGATTATTGAGTTGATGATCAATTCCACAAAAAACTTTGTTGTCTTTTTTTATTTTTACTCTATTTTTATCAATTTAAATAATCATGATATTCAACCACGTGCATTGCACGTGCATCTCAACTCATGATATTCAACCACGTGTATTGCACGTGCATCTCACCTAGTATTGTAAAATGGCTGAGATGTTCCATTTAGTAAATATAGGTTCACTATGATAATTATGGAGTGACTAAGTTGTAGCTTAATTTGCAAGGATGAATCTTGGGTGGCAAATATGTCGATCTATAGCTCGCACTGTATAACATACTTTCTTGGATAAAATATCAGCTGTAATAAATCAATGTAAAATCTGTTAAACAATTCATTTCATAAATGAACTTCTGCAGGGAAAAATATGTATATTGTACTGAGAGAGTACCTGATATGGATCAAAGCTGTCAGTCTCAGGTTCCTTGAGGAAAGTTGCTAGGCATATAAGCTGCGAGCAAAGTAGAACATAATAAGACCATAGCACACCTTACAACTGATTAAAAAAATCCTTTCATTTCAAAATAGTTGATGGCTTAAACAAACCACAGAGAACTGCTTCAAATGTTGTACCAAAAACCCTGCTTCTAAAGTTGAAGTTATATTTGAAAGAAAACCAAAATCAAATTCACAAAACTTAAAAAAAATCAAGATAACATAAAAATAATATAGGACACCGCCAGGCATGAATATATGACCACTTATCCAGCTAATATGGAGATGTATTAGCTTCTAGAACTTGGTAAAAGTTTGGGTTTAGTGAAGAAAAGAAACATACAGATGCCTTAGGCACTGGCTTGGTTCTCTTATAAAAAATATTCACATTGGTATTCAAAAAGGTCGATAAAGACCCATGGAACCTTCTTTTGATTCCCATACCAGAATGCTAACTTCGTTGATGCAAAGAAGATTGCTACACAGGTACAGTTATATGGAAAGGGGGGAGGGCCATTTCCTATCACTTCATCTTCACGAATGTCGAATGCATCCAGATTCACAATTTTAGTAGGGCAGCATTTTGGGTATCATTTACAAAACAATTAGTCTGAGCCCTTTATGTTAGACCTCAAATAATTTTAACCAAGGGTATTTCACTATTTATTAATAATTTTCAGATAGCAAACCAAATATTTCAAGAAAATTACATTCTTCTTACCTTCAACATGCAAAAAACCTTTTTGATGTGTTGAGAGCATGAGCTACTATCAAGTGAATTGAAAAAGTGTCCTGGGGCAAAAATATAGGAAATTTTCAAGAACAGTACACATAGTGCAGACATAGGCAGATCTGAGCTAATTGACCATGGATCAAAGACATAAATTGTTGTAGTATACTTTTCTTGTGCTATATCTAGTCTCAAGTCAAATTAGGAAGTGAAAATAATAATGGTCAAGATCAAAAATTTTATTTGAACCGATGTTGCATGGGTACTTCTATCATGAAGCCGTACCTACTACCCAACACTTCTTGTACCTGACACTTCTTGTACACTCCTTGAATATAGACATAAACTTATTCCGATATGTAGTCTATTATACAATATATTTTTAATTTAAAACACTCATCATACACTTCTTGGCAAAGGTTGGGCTCATTTCGGCCCATATTCAATTCTAAGCTACGATTTCAAAGGGTTGTTTGTATATCTAGTTCAAAACCATGCTTTCAGCCCATGCATTTCAGTTGTATCCCCGTACCCTACATTTTACAAATTTGCCGTGTCATGTACCCGCACCCGCACCAGTACCCACAGTACACAATACTTGTATCCATACAACTTAGATTTGAACTAATCAAATCAAACCCTTAGTCTCATGGATCGAACACCTAATCTTTTCTTGGTGTTGTACTCTTAAAAGACTCCCATTGCGACTAATTGTTTCTGTGAAATTGTTTGACAATAATATCTGGTTCTCTCTAGTAGTAGGACTGGTTATATTGAAGTTCTTCAGCTAAATACCAGTTACTAGAGTTAAGAGTGCATACCAATACATGACCTAGTTGGCCTTTACCAATAATATTTGTTCTTACAAAGATACCTAAGCAGTTCAAGCATATGTGAAGGCTATACGAACAAGGGAACAGACCTTCACTAATGCAGTTCCAAGATAAACAAGAGCAGCTTTAATAGAAGTGCCAACAGTATCATACTCCGATCTGCATAATCATCAGCAAATGAGGAAAATTCTTGATAATCAGAAACATTTAAAACAAAAACATTAACTGCTTTAGTTATGAACTTGACTCCTGAAGCAACAAATAAATACAAAACATTAGGAAAATAACATATCACCAATTCTGTATAGAAAGTGGGTACCGCCTGGCAATAAACTAAGAACAACAAAGGCAGTGACATGATTCAATAGAGAATCTACCATAAACATAATGATACCATAATCAGAACTAAAAAACATCTCCCAGATAATTGGGAGTTTCCTAATTATACAGCCTATGTTACCCGCGTTACCGCGTACTTCTATAATGAAGTCGTACCCGTACCGGACACGTACATGACACTTTCCGGTACCCAAACTTCATGGACACTTCTTGAATATATGCATGCATTTATTACAACATGTACTCAACTATACGATATATGTGTTAATTTAAAACACTTGTCAAAGACTTCCTGGACGTAGAGCTTACACTTCACATCCGTCTTTTGAAACTAATGAGATACGGGTCAAATTCATTTCAGTCCATACCCAAGTTCAAAACTATATAGTTAATGGGTCGTTTAGATGTCTAGTAAAAAATGAGTAGTTTACAATTCACGATAATCAATATAATAAAAGAAACTCAAAAATTTGATCGGAATTTTAATTCTAATGACACATGAAGCGAGAAAAAAATATCTCATGTACATTATTAATTCAATATAAATATGTAGCTGTGTCCCCGTACCCTACATTTTACAGTTTGGTTGTGTCCCCTACCCGTACCCACACTCGTACCAGTACCCGTGTCCGTTTCCATGCAACTTAGTTAATACAGCAAATCAGCTCCAAAGAGAAGATGATGAGAGTGAAAAGGCTATAGTCATGAACTGCACAGAATTCTCTATGCATACTACAGTGTAGTTGTTTAGATAAGGCCTTAAATTTCCATCCCTTACCTCAGCAATAGTCTTCAAATTCAAACCAACAATCTCTAAAGGTATATACCTAACCAAGTGGTATGGAACTAAGGAACTTTTTACTAGCCCATCCCAGTATAACCCAAGTGAAATCAAACCATCCCACTTTGATCTAGTCCAACAATCCAATTTATTGTGCATTCCCAATCCGAGTTACCAAAATTAGTAACACAACAACTAGAGAATGAGCAATAGTGGTTAATGAGTCCAATGAGTTATTATTTGATTTACCATTGGTTTCAAGAAAATAATTAGGTTCAATCATCTGGTTACAGCTTGGTCGCTCTTAAAAAGTTTAAGCATTTAGTTTTGGGATGTTTGGTTAGTTTTGATGTGGGTTTTGGCTTTGGTTTGACCAGCTTTAAATGTAATATGTGTGTGTCAACAATAATAATAACGGTAACAATACTTACAATAGTAAACATGTAACTTTATTCTTGGAAAATAGTATAATTAATTTTTTAGTGGCAGTTATGTGTACCTTCTCATAGATTACGCATTCCTTGTCCTATCTTGGGCACACTTATGTGTGTTAACAATAATAATAATGGTAACAATACTTACAATAGTAAACATGTAACTTTATTCTTGGGAAATAGTATAATTATTTTTTTAGTAGCAATTATGTGTACCATCTCATAGATTACGCATTCCTTGTCCTATCTTGGGCACACTTCTTACTTGCTAAAAGTTCTGATGCATAAAGCATTCCTGGTAATAAAGATTATTTATCTCATATATTTTTATTTTTCCCACAAAGAGTGTTTACTACACCTTGTTCAACCTTATTTCTAAGGATTTAACCTAATAAAGCAAAATATTCAAAATACATGGATAAAAAACCAAGAACCGAGCATTATCTTTCTTTAATAGATAATTGTTATGTTGAATTCTAATTTAACCCTTATATTATTAGGAGATTAGGAGATAGTAGGCAATGTCATCATCATGACTGTATCAGTTGTATCTCGCCATATATACTTAGCTTACTCCTAACATATTGGAAAGAATTTATCAATCTTCTTTTCTCCCTCTAACAAATCAATCATTATGGAGTTTTTATAGTCACAGATTACACTACATAACAAAACAAACCATAGTAATAAGTAACAAATATTAAATAGTATTATTAACTAGTAACTACTAACATAGATAATTAAGCGACAAAGTTAAACTTGCAAGGTTCAAATTGTGGCATATCCTCCAAATGATATAGGCAATTAGATATATTACAACAAAAGGGAACAAAAAATTCAAAAAAAAAAGTATTTATTTAACAAAAATCAACCAAGAAAAGGGAATCAAAAAATTCAAAAAAAATACTTTGTTTTGGACACCTTTTGTACCCTCGAAATTTCAAACACTTTTTGTGTCTTGTCGCAAAAATTTTAGGCGAGCGCCTGAGGCTCTGAGGCAAGCTCTTGATGCTCGCCTTAGTAACCTTCATATTTGGTGATATGGGAGGCGTAAGGTACAAAGTTGTCTTGTCTGAGGTGCTAAGGCAGGACATTTTTAAAATTGTAATGGTATTAATTTCCACAACAAAAAATTCAAAAATAAATACTTCGTTTTGGACACCTTTTGTACCTTCCAAATTTCAAACACCTTTTGTGTCTTGTCGCACAAACCTTAGGCGGCCGCCTAAGGCTCCTAGGCAAGCTCTTGATGCTCCCCTTAGTAACCTTCATATTTGGCGATATGGGAGGCGTAAGGTATAAAGTTGTCTTGTCTGAGGTGCTAAGGCATGACACTTTTAAAACTGTAATGGTATTAATTTCCACAAACTAATTGTTTTAAGTTCAAGACCTTAGAATTTCTTGAGACTTCGCATCTCACTTGGAACTCATAAATTTTGAATCTTTATATAGATTTTTGGTCAGGCAAGTCGCAACGTCATTCCCAAGAATGTCAACAATGTGTACTTTTTGGGTCTGGTGTTCCCTTTCAAATGACCTATATGGTGACACATGGTCTCCCCAAAGAGATTTCATGCATTCTCACACGAGTCCAAGGTTGTTGATAGCGGATCGCGTCGCGTCGCAGCGAGGTACCGCTTAGGCTATTTCAGGCTATTGCGGCAAAATAATGACAAATAGCGCACGGTCAAATAGCGGTTAAATATAAATATATTTAAATATTCTAAATAATAAGAAAAATTATATAAAAATCTAAAAATTCTATAAATGCATACTTGATGCCTAAACATGAAATAGATGTGATAATTACATAATATTAACAACGTACTATAATTATAAAGATTAAAGAATAAAAAAACGTACCTACTTATCCAAAAGAGTGTTAGTTGTCGTCGGAGCCTAGAAGTCTGTCAGTCATCGGAGCCTGGAAGTCTGTCCGTCGGAGCCTGGAGGAGTTCGGTCGGAGCCTGGAGGAGGAGGATGTTGTCGTCGGAGCTTGGAGGAGGAGGAGCTTGGACGAGGAGAGCCGTGTGAGAGGAGGAGGAGGAGGAGGAGCTGGAGCCTGGAGGAGGACGGATGTTGTCGTCGGAGCTTGGAGGAGGAGCTTAGATGAGGAGGAGGAGGAAGAGGAGCTTGGAGGACGAGGAGCTTGGACGGAGAAAAATTTCGGGTTCGGGGAGAGATACGTTGAGAGGCGGTTGGGGCTTCGTTGAAGGAGTTAGGCGTTTAGTGGGTATTCGGGTCGCGTTCGGGGTCGGGTTCGCGTTTAAAGGGTAGCGGCAAAAACGCGGGATTAAGTGCTAAAACGCGCTAAAACGTGTTATTCGAGTTAAAAGCGGTTTTTACCGCTTAAGCAGGCCGCTAATGCCTAACGCGTGGTGCTGAGGCCCCGCTTTCGCTATTTGCGCCGCGATAGCCCCGGTTTTTGTCGCTATTTACAACACTGCACAAGTCCAATGTTTTGTAGCTCCTTAAGGTCATTGCATTCTTGGTTTCCTTGGTTCTTATCAAATCCAATCAGAGAAATAGGAAGAAAGGGGAAAGGAAAGGAGAGAAAGAAAAAAGAACGATGTTTGAAGTCAAATCTTGGACAAAATGCCACAATGAAGCTCATCGATGACATTGGTATGAAGTGCATCAATCTTCTCTACAGTCGCTCTATGTTGCACATTCTCCTATGCACTTTGCTATAACATGCTTTAGTTTAGGAGATTACTTGCATTGCATTGATAGGCAATGACACCTTTCATGTAGATTATATCATTTATATCTTGTATGCATTCTAGGTTTAACGCCCTAATACAATCATGAATTGTTTACCAGTCTTCTCTCCAGATTCTAACAATCTCAACCATATCTAATCCCCTCATATGCTTTACTCTGATTGTCTCGACCCATATAACAATCCTTCGTACCAATGTTCACTAGAAATAAGAATTAAAATGCTTCCCACAAATAATAATAATAATAATAATAATAATAATAATAATAATAATAATAATATCTAAGATTTAAAAATTTCTTCAGTGTCGTACAAATGCAAAATTCATTTTTGACGTGTTTGAACATTAACCGTGATTAATTCAAAGAGAAGAGTCACAAGAACGCGGAAGCATACCTGAATCCATGAGGATCTGAATTAGGGTTTGATCTTCTAAATCTTGAGGGTCTCTCCTTAAGAATCTCTTTGGATGGGGATAAGAGAATAGAGAATGTAACCCTAAATTAGGGACCATAACCCCTTATTTATAGGTGTTATCCTTTTATAATTTGGCCCCTCAACAAATTATAATTACAACCTGACATCTACACATTTAGCCCATGATTTATTTAAACACTCATTAACCTAAATTAATTGATCACTTTATACGGGTTAACCTTAAGGATAGCAATACACACTGATGCAACATATGTGCCCACAAATTAGATTTAATTAGATTTAAATCTAACAATTTCCTACTTGGACACAATATGTTTCCTTAAAGTGTGTATAACCTTATAAGCTCAAAAAATTATTATCACTAATAAGGGTATTTCCAAACAATCTCATCCATTGACTATATTAATATAGGATCAAAGCAGTCTTTGTCACATTTATCGTGACT